CCCCCACATGCACACACACACACACACAGCATGCGAACAGCCTGCAACACCCCCACAGTTACACACACGCGGCACAGCCTGCAAATTTGTGTGCACACACACACACACAACCCCCCCGTGCAGCCTGCAAACCCACAGACCTGCACACGCAGCCCCCCACACACACACTAACACAACCTGCAAACCCCCCCAGTGTGCAAACATACGTGCAGCACAGACACACACAGCGCACACAAACACAGCCTGCAAACCTCTGCACGCACACACCCACACACATCCACAGAGCTCGCAAACCCCCAAACTCACACACGCATACACTCCAAGCTTGCAAACAGGCTGCAAACCCGCACACCGTGTGGGCACACGCAGCTTGCAGCCCCACAAACTTATACACACACACATGCGTGCGCACACCCCCTATGCAAACACAGCCTGCAGCCACCTGCAAACACACCTCTTGACCAAACACAGCTTGCACGCCTGCACATACAGCTCACACACACACACACACACACAGAATGCACGCAAACACAGCGTGCGCACACACACGCTCCATCCTGCACACGCAGTGCCCCTGCACGCTGTCACCCATCCCCAGCACCCCACGGGGATCACACACACAGTCACAGGCTGCTGCCTACAACCCCCGAACACTGTCACAACCTGCCAGCAGCCTCTTCTCCATCCCTCTGCAGAGCACATGCATTGTGATAGACACCCACATGCATATACGCACACATAGCGCCCCATGTCCAGCTGCGCCGCACTGGCATCCCCAGGCAGGGTCTGTCCCCCCATGCTCAAAGCAGGGGCACGTGGTAGGTGGTGGTGCAGTGAGTCCCCATCCCGCCAGCCCCCAGGCAGCACCCCGGGGCTCCTGGGCTCCTGCTGCCCCACCGAGGGCAGTGCTGGGGTGGAAAGTCCCTCCACAGGTCCGCAAGGCCAGCGGGGATGTGGGGAGGGGGCCAAGGGGAGCAGGCACTGCCAGCAGGCAGATCTGCCCACCCTCTGCCTGCACACCCCAAAAGCTCCCTCTGCCCATCCTAGAAGGCATTTGGGGCTGGAGGTGCAGAGGGTGCATACTGAGGGACTGTCCCATCCCTCGTGCCTGGGTGGTGGGGACCCTGGGCACGGCATCCCTGACCGCGTCTCTCTCTGCCCATGCAGGTGGCCCTGGTCAGCGAGCCCGGACGGCAGTGGATGAGAGCTGGGCACTGGCCTAGCCGCACAGGCGCACCGGCACCATGGACTTCGTCATGAAGCAAGCGCTGGGCGGTGAGTGGGTGCTGTCCCCCTTCAGGGTCCCCCCTCCAGGAGCAAGGACAGCCTGGCACCCCAGGGAGCACGGTGGGAGGGACGTGGTGGGGGGACAGAGCCGTGGGGAAAGCTGCTGGCAGCGGGCAGCTGCTGCCGGAGCCCTCCGGAGCTCCTGTTTCCAGTGCCGGCAGCGCCTGGCTGGGGAATCCCAGCTCTCCCACCACTAAGTGGGCTTCCCCAGCAGGTCCCCTGGGTGCCCGTGCCGA